TAGGGTTAGGGTTAAGGTTTAAGGTTAGGGCTAGGGTTAGGGTTAGGGTAGGGTTAGGATTAGAGTTCGGGGTAGGGTTAAGGTAGGGTTAGGGTTAGGGTTAAGGATTAGGGTTAGGGTTAGCGTTAGGGGTAAGGACTTCTTGCTGTGGTTGAGGTTAGTTTTAGTGTTAGGATCCAGGTTTAGGTTGAAGGACTTCTTGCTGAGGGTTAAGTTAGGGTTAGAGTCAGGATTAGGTTTAAGGACTTCTTGTGGTTGAGGTTAGGGTTAGGTTGAAGGACTTCTCGCTGAGGGTGAGGTTAGGGTTAGGGTTATGGTTATGGTTATGGGTTAGGGTTAGTGTTAGGGTCAGGGTGAAGGACTTCTTGCTGTGGCGAGGTCTCCCAGGACACAGGGAGCACACTGTCCTGCAGGGAGTCCACAGCAGGGAGTGTGAGAACTTGCCCATCCCCCTCTGCTCCATGTGAACCTCCCCCACTTCCCCGCGGGATACGTTCTCGGTAAGTAATAGCTGGTTAGTTTCCCAGGCGAACAGCTGGAGGGCCGTGCGTGTGTGTGAGACAGAGCCTCGGGGAACCTGCTGAGCTCCGCATAGTCACTGCCCCCGGAATGCTTCCCTGAGGTCATTGCTCACATGAGACACGGAAAGTATTTAGAGTGGGAGGTAGAAACACTGCTAGTGCAGGGAAGGGAACACTGGTGAGCTGAGTGGTGACGTTGTTGGTTTTGCTTTTGTAAGAAAGAATGTTGATGCATGAGAGAGCCGATTTCTGACATCAGGGTGGCCCCTGTGCCTTCTTGGGTCAGTTAAGTAACTTCCCTGAGTTTCTGCTTCGTCATCTACAACATGAAGATGGTGAGACCCACTGTGCATTGGGATTCTGTGAATGCACGCACCTCCTCTGCCAAGCGTCGGGCACACAGTCGGTCTTCAAGCCAGCAGCTGATCCGTGGAGAGCCGTAGGGGGGCTTTTATTCTGTGGGCTGGTTTCCTGTTGTGACGCTGGGCTCCCCGGAGAATTTGGTGCAGGTGTTTCACTCTGCGCGCCTGCAGGGGCTCCGCTCCGGGGCCGGGAGAACGCGGGCAGCACCTTCCCGTGAGCTCAGGACCCAAGGGCGGCGGCCACTCCGAGTGGTAGGTGCCTGACCAGGGTCCCTTTTACTGAGCCTCTTCCAGGCTGATATGCAAAATGCCCGCCACATGCACTTTTCTTATGTCGTTTCCCAGTGCAGAGGAAGTTACAGAAACAGGTTCACAGTATTTATCACCAAAATGAAGCCTGGGTCATGACTGGGAGGGACCTGAAACTCACCTTCATTTGAAGGCAAAACCCATCCAGGAATCTGTCACCTTTGAGGGCCCTGCTCACTGGACCCCGCTCCTCCCAGGCCGCTGGTTAGTAATCACAACGCTGGTGCTCATGTGCCCAAACGTCCCGAGCCTCCCCCAGCTGCTCCCCTGCCCACACCCGCCATGCAGGGGGAGAGTCCTGTTCCCACGGCCCCCACCTGCCACGCAGGGGGAGAGTCCAGATCCCCCGCCCCCACCCGCCACGCAGGGGGGACAGTTCTGTTCTCAAGGCCCCCTCACACCATGCAGGGGGAAGCTCAAATGAAGTCACACCAGAAACAGAAATGTAAAATTAAATATTTAATTAGAACTCTGATTTGCTTTAAAGATAGGTGGCATTGCACAGGCTATATTACACTCTCTTTATAATTTTTTTTGACAAAAAAAAAAGATACTGTTCATTTTAACAGGCCACAGTAATATTAATTCATGGGTTGGAACTGAAAAATCTGCTAGAGATAGTACAATGTACATTATTGGGAAAATTACAGTTTTGTGTTGTAAAAACATTTATTTTTTTAACAATTTACCTACATTAATCAAAAAATTACAGCATATTTAATAATTTTACAAATTCTTCATAAAAAATATATCTCTGTACAAAAAGGTCTTTTGCACCTAACTCATGTCAGCAGCATGTGGTGAGATGTCGGACGGGCGGTGACACGGGCCTGCTCCGAAAGCCAGCCTCTTCCTTCCCCTTTGTTATCTTTGCTGTGTCGTCGTTGCTTACAAAATATTTTACAGGAGAAAAAGATTATTGCAGCTAGCTTGAAGGAAGGCAAGATGTGTGGGCCAAGCAGCAGCTTTAAAGAGCTTTAAGCACATAACCTGTGGTAGCGTGGGCGCCCCGCGCCAGGTCCCCACGGGCCGGGACAGCCTTCTAGTAAGTTCCGAGGAGAGACTAGCTCAGGGAATGACTGTGTCTATGGAGCAGGCTCTAGAGTCTAGACCCACCTACCAGGGCAGTTCTGTGAGCCTGGGGGTGGTGCCTCATCTGACGTGGGGGTCTTGGGCCTGTGTCCTGTGGGAAGGGACATGGGGACGGAGACGCGTGCTCAGGCTCTGAGGTGGGGCACCTGCACCTGCTCGAATGACTCACTTGGATATGTACACAGTGTGTGCGCGTGTGATATGTACACCTAAGCTGTGGAGTGACCCTGTACCCGCACACCCTGTGTGCCGGGGCCTTGCCTGGCTGACCTCTGGATCTGAGGAGGGGAAGGGGTGTGAGCTCCGGGATGCGGGGCAGAGCTCTGCCCTGCTGTCAAGAGGGAAGAGGTGTGAGCTCCAGGATGTGGGGCAGAGCTCTGCCCTGCTGTTGGGTGGGAAGAGGTGTGAGCTCTGGGATGCAGAGCAGAGCTCTGTCCTGTGGTCGGGTGGCAGAGAAATGTGGAGAAGTCAGCACAACAGCTAGAGCTGCAGGGGCCATGGAGCCAGAGGGCCGGTGCCGCCCACCCGCTTGCAGGGCCCACACCCAGCAGGACAGATGGGCAGGTGCTCAGCTGGGGAGGCGCAGCTTGGAAATAGTGTCATCCTGTGACCCCGACAGGGTTTTGTGTTAGTTTTCGTGTTTCACGAAGCCCTGCATTTCAACATGCAATGGACAAGCCAATGGGTCAGATTGAAGGAGGTGCGAGCGCTGCCACCCGAACCGGGGTCGCCATGCCCACACTCCTGCCGGCGCCGATGCGATGGAGAAAGGGAAATTGGCTGCCTGTGGAACGGGCCGTCAAAGCAAAATGATGAAAGAAGAATCGCTGTTTCAGAACACATTTCCCATGGCACTACGTGGAGATGAACACGGCTTTCGCTTGGAGTTGGTGGTGTCCACGCGCATGGCCGCATCTGTCAGGCCCTAGTTCTGGTTGTACTGCCCTGGGGGTCACACCTCCTTCATTTGTGCCTTCACTTGTCAGTTACCAAGAATGAGCTTAAACCTGGCCGCTCTGACCTCCCTCCCGCCTGGGGAAGCGCGAAGCAGCGGACAAGCTAATGCTGGGGACGGGGCGCCGTCGGGGTGGGTGTGAGCGTCCTCCTGCTCCCCCCACCCCCCCGCCGGAAGCGCTGGGCCCTTTGCGGGCACAGGATCAGGGCCAGGCTCCTGAGGCGTCCTGGCCTCGCTGCAACATGGCGGGGGCACAGCCAAAGAGAACACACAGTGCTAAGGGGGTAGGGGGGACTGTCCCAGAGCCCCAGCCACACGTCCGCCAGCCACTGAAATACATGACTGCTCACATGTGCACAGGCGGACAGCGTGCTGTCACCTGCTCTGGACACACCTGGGCCAGCGAGGGCGGGGGAGGAACTGTAGGGAACAAAGGCCTCTGTTTGCTCAGACTCCCACACGGGCTGCTAAAGCAGCAGCAACACGGTGCCTCTCTCCACGCCCGCGCCCCTCCCGCCTGGGCATGGCTGGACTCTCCCTGCTCTCACACCTCCACTCACCTAAGGGGGGATGTTCAGCTTCGAGATGAGAGGGTGCTTATGTACAATGGGGGGTGTACAAACCCTGTAAATAGTGTATTTTTTTTTTTATCAGAACCTTACTCAGTCATTCATCACACACTAGTGCAAAAATTGTGCATCAAAAATTCTGCGACAGGACAGCTGGCGGGTGATTTGTGGCTGCCCTGGGGCACGGAGGTCCGCTGGAGTTCCGGCAGCGGCGAGGCGGGGCCAGAAGGATGGTGGAGCGTGTGCAGGCTGGGAAGTGTCTTCATCCAGAGAGCGAGTGTGTTTTGCAGAGTTCTTGGGCTCACGGGGCTGGAGAACCACACGCGCACAATGTGTCATGGTGCCCCCGAGGCTGTAACTGGGCCCAGGTGCATGGGAAGGCTCCCCGCCTCACGGACACAGGCGGTCGGAGACATTGAGTACCGTGGGGTGGCGTGGCCGGTGGTCTTGACCCCAAGCAGGCAAAGTCGGACATAGAGACTCCGCTGGCAGGATGAAGGGACAGGGTGGCCAGTGCTCAGAAGACTCCACGCTCCATGGACACCCGCACACTCCGTGGACACCTGCACGCTCCATGGACACCCCATGCGCTTTGTGGATACCCCACACGCTCCGTGGACACCCGCACACTCCATGGACACCCCACACGCTTTGTGGATATCCCACATGCTCCATGGACACCCGCACGCTCTGTGGACACCCGATGTACTCTGTGGACACTGCATGTGCTCCGTGGACACCCCACGTGCTCTGTGGACACCTGCACATTCTGTGGACACCTGCACACTCCATGGACACCGCACATGCTCTGTGGACACCCCATGCTCTCTGTGGACACCCCACGCTCTGTGGACACCTGCACACTCCGTGAACACAGCACATGCTCCGTGGACACCCCACGCTCTCTGTGGACACCCCACGCTCTATGGACACCTGCATGCTCCATGGGCACCTGCACGCTCCGTGGACACCCTGTGTGCTCCATGGAC